ATCAGTTTGTCAGGTGTATGCAGCATTCCTGACAGGTTTTATGGTGGTGTTGGTCAGTCTGTTTGCTTTGCATCACATTTTGCTGCAATAAAAATGATAAAAGTCAGATGAACAGACTGAAAGCTTTATCATAGGAGGTAAAATTGATGTTGACAAAGTTTTCCTTTGTAGAAATCATTTGCAGTTGGGAAAAAGGAAATAAATTGCATTATATCTTAATAAATTGTATGGCAATACTCAGCATATCACAATATCCCAGTACTACCATATCGTGACTTAAGTATCATGATATTATCCTATTGTTGGTCCTCTGGCAATCCGCATCGGTGCATCCCTTGTTAAAATAGCATTACACTTGATGAAGAGTGCATTATGATGTGCTTGGGACTTGAAACTGAAGGATAATTTCCTATACTTATGGAATATGTAATCAGTAATGGGAATAACGGCGTTAAATAAACTGCGTTACTAACAGCGCTGCGTTTTTTCAATAACCAGTAATCAAAAAAGTGACTGTCTCCCCTTTTATAATGCTGTTACCATCACAATAAAATGCGCTTTTACTCAGCTTTACTTGAGTTCACTGATGCGGCTTTCACCCAAGCAAGCTCCTTCTCAGTGGCACTCTAACGTTTTTTTTCTTTGGTGAGGGCAGGTGAGGGGGAAGGGTGGGAGAGACAACCACATAAGTGATGATGATTGGCTTAGGGAGGGTAAAATTTCATCATAAACCAATCAGAGGCAGAGTAGGGCGGGTATTAACAAGCACACAAGCAAGGTTGCCAGGTCTGCTTATTAGCCGCGACTTTGGGCTTGTTTTTTTGTAAAGTCGCTTACAAATATTGGTAGTTGCGGGTTGCTGTTTTTTGGGCTTGTTTCTAAAGTGGAGTTGCTTATTTGGGCTTGCTCTCTAAACGTCGCCTACGTATGTCAGACTGCAGGATGTTTCCACAGCTCCACTCCCTCCACCCCTCTCCTTCTCCACGTACACACAGGTGACGGTCAGTCAATGAGACTTTCCACATTTAAATTGTGCGATTAATGGAGGTTCTTCAACTATTTTGCTTTATAATAATGATTTATTCTATTAAGTGTCAATTTCATTCATTTAACATATTCAATGTTGAGTTTCATTACATACAGTTCCATTAAGGGGGGGGTGTCCAAGCAATTTGACATATTTGAGCATTTTATAAAAAAGTGCCATTAACTCTATAGTTACTTTTCCAGGTTATTAGTTACTTTTATAGTGCAGTAACTCAGTTACTTTTTGGAGAAAGTAACAAGTAACTATAAAAAATTACTTTTTTAAAGTAACATTCCCAACACTGTATGTAACAGATTGCAAATACAAAGATACCATAAAAAGCTGCAGCCTCTGAGTTGCACAGAAGTGGTGTTTAGGAGACCACATGATTTACAGGATTCATCTACATTGTGAAAACAATTAAAAAGCAGAAATCAAAAACACACACGTCTATGTTATGGATGCCATACTTTTTATTGTGCTGGATAAAACGCAGTGAATATCTATAAAGGCTTTGTTTAGCAAGCAAGCAAAATTTGTAGTGAAATAAAAGACAGTAATACTACGTGGATAGAGAAAGCAATAAAAGTTAGATACTGTAGAAGACATTTGAAATGACACAGAAGGAGCAAGGCAGAGGGAGAGCTGGGAAATCTCTCCACTTCCCTCACAGCTAACTACAAAACATTGCATAAAGTAAGAAAAAATCTTTTCCAAAGGTTACATATCCAGTCTTACCTAATGGTGACTGAGAGGCAGAGAAAAACAGTCTTATAAAATTCATCCCCCACAAAAATAAACTATATATATATAAAATTTTAAAATGTTCTCCATATGCTCTCGGACACCTGAATTTTAAACAGTATTTAAGTTTGAAAATGAGGTAAAGGTAGGCCTTTCTGGAGGTAGTGATGTGTATTCGATTGTACTAGAACATGATATCATGAAGAGATCAACTTCATTAAGACTCCCAGAGCTGAAAGCTCATCAACAGTGGCTTCTACAATCATTCTGCCCAACAGCAAGGTAACATCACCTCCACACAACATTAGCTGCTGTTTTAGATTCTACTGAGCTCAAGTCTACATCACTGGAGGAAATGACAAACTTCAAAAGCTCCAAACTTGGAGCTTGTTGAGCTCAGTGGTGTCACTTAGATCCCATATACACCTGGTGTTAACATGTGATACAGTAGCCTTTTTCCTTATCCAGATGGATACAGATCACGTGGTAATACCAGGTCTACATGGGGTCTATGTGACTGATGGATGGTGTGGTGTTAAATGATGAAGCCTGTCTGTTTCAAAGCCATTCGTTCAAAGCTACTGATCAGCCTGCGTCAACAGGTTCACACAGTATTTTCTTAGCCAGCTCATTTAACAGCAGCTTGTGATTCTCTCTGTTAGGACTGACTGGATGATTAGAAACAGCATTACCTGCACAGTGTCTGCGTATGATAAATACCAGTTCTTGTAGGAACTATTTTCTTTCTTCTACACCCACCAATCGCATCGCTGCGCAGAAGGCAGTGTACTTCTGCTGCTAGCTTACCGAGCACCACTGTGCTAGCTAACATTACAGCTCAGACGAGAAGGACCCAAATTCGCATTTCCTGGGACAGTGAAGGCATGACCCACTCTACTCTCCTTCTATTAGGCTAGTACTTGTTGCCTTTGTTGGCTGGATAGGTTAGGTTTAGGCAAGAGGAGTGAGACTGCTTAGGGTTAGGGTAAGAATATCAGTTTAAGCCAATCAGAGGCAAAGTAAGGCAGAGTAGGGCTGCCCATGCAAATGCAAATTTACAAGGAGGACACCACACTTGGTGCTTCTCAAAGTCAAGGAGGCTGTCATCGAATCCTGCCGAAGGACTGTTCCAATGTCAAGGATCCTTTGAATTCTACTGAGGACAGAGTCCTTCCTTCAGAGATTTTTCAAGTATTTATGTGCGTTTACTCAGTGGTACTCTGAGTACTCACAATTCTTTGTGCACAATTTGCCAGAATTGAGGGCAAGGCGTCTTTAATGATGCACAGCTAGTCCCTCGCTAGCCTGTTCCAATGTGTGTTCACCAAATACTAGTAAAGGAGTCTAGCCTCTGTAGGACCCGACTTTGAAGGACCCGTCCTTCCAAGGAAGCATCCTTGACTTTGAGAAACACCAACTGTCACCAGCCTCTTGTCCATGAGTAGATGCACCCTTCTTGTGCAGTGATACCATTCACCCCTTTTACACTGACAGATTTTTGGCAAATGTTGGGACGTTTTGCAGGCAAGCTGCGAGCGTTTAGACACACAGAGCCGGATTGGCGAGTTGATCCAAGGTGCCCAATTTTCTGCCACATAGGGGTAAACATATTGGCGGAACCTTTTTGGTTTAAAAAGAACAAGGCGCCCTTCTGCCACGGGAGGGGCTGTTGATGACTTGTGGGAGGAGCTGTTGATGATGCCGCACGTGCGACCCACTGAGGGTGGACTAACAGGAAACAGCTGATGGCAGGAATGAGCAGATAGTAGCAAGAAACCTGAAAGACACTGTAAAGATGAGCAACTGGGGAGACTGGGGACTTGCGCGCCCTCTTTGCTCTCACAAACGGAGAGGCCATTAACCATCAAATGAAGGAACGGTGAAGGACTGCCCAACTTATGAGAGAATCACCAAAGCACTGACCAGCTGCGGCTGTATGTCACTGTTTACGTCAAACGCTGAGCTACACGTTTTGTTACTTGCTCACGCCCCCCATTGCCCCGAAAAAGGCACATTCTGTATAAACAAATTGCAAATTTGTACAATTCCTATTTTAAGAGGGCTGTTGATGGGTGTAGTTTGGTAGAAAGAAAATAGAGAGTTAGCACTCAGGGAGGAAAGACCTACGCCATTGCCAAGTGCCTTATCTCGCAATGTTAACAAAATTGAAAAAAGAACTTGTGTATCTGCCCCATGATTTGGATCCGCTCAAAAATTGAATGAGATCTTCCCTAGACAGACAAACCGAATCAAATACATATCCTCCTTGGTGGAGGTAATGACTAAGTTCTATTCATGTGTCCTAGGAAACCATAACCATGTGACAGTGAGTCAGAATGTACTATACCAGGGCCATGAAACTGAAGCAACTAAATGGAATTCATTTTTCAATTCAGTTTATTAATTTATTATTAATTTATTATTTACACCTGTACTTTCTTATCGTGTGAAAATATCTTGCATGGAAAAGGCCTATTGTGGGAACATTAAGTCGATGGTACTACTAAGGTGTGTTCACACTAAATGTGCAGTAAATTTTTAGCCTGGCACGATTGTAAATTAAGATCAGATATATGAGTCAACACAATCAAACCCAAACTTGACCTGGATGGTGCCATTTGAATTAAAGACACGGCAGTGGCATGTAATTACACCTGCATCCATTGTTTTTTTTTTTGTGAACTCCTGCACGCTGACAGAATCATTGCTTTCAGACTGTTCTTAGTGTCTTACTTCAGCTACTACTGCTTTTTAGAGTTTCAGATATTGATCCTTAGCCACTCAGTAAGGTGACAAGTTGCTTTGCAGCTTGAAGGCAGCTTTATAGTCCAAGACACTGTGCAGGTTATGGGTTAGTAAGAGTTTACCACAGTCCCTGTTAAAATGATGCCACTGTTTCATACTGGTGTTGCTGATGAGGTACCTGGTTTGAATGTTATCAGTCGATTAAAGTTACTGTTGGTAACTTTGTCATATTTGCTGAAACTGTCACTATATCCAGACAGTAGTACATGAGACAAATAACCTGGAAAAAAACATTAGAATTACCTGGCCTCCTCCTTGTGCTCCTAATGGTAAATACTAGAAACCAATGTGGCTGAAGGAAAACAACCAATCAGAGGCAAGGATTCTCTGTTGCAGCTATCAATCATGTCAATCACTGCTCGTGAACTGCGGTCAAACTGTCAAACTAGGCTGCGCTGATCAAATATGAAAAAAAAAAAACCTCTGTTACTGCATTGTCTTTTTCTCAAATGTTTACACAAACATATTTTAGTATACTATTTAGCTGTAAAATGAGAAAGCTTGTTCCAGCAGCAGGCACCTAATTTTGGCATGACTGTTTTCCACATAGCAGCTGGGTTTAGCTGCAATGGATTCTTGCAAATGCCATTACAAGTACTCGGAGAAGGCAGAGGCATGGGATTTACAGATTATCTGTCTCTTATACTAGTGTCAGAATTTAGTGACAATTTCAGCAAATGTGAAAAAGTTGTTTTGTTTTTTTAAGTTACCAGCTACAGCTTTATTGGTGGTTATCAGCATCCTAGGTATGGATTAGAATGGGTCCTGCCAAACCTAGCAGCATGTTCAGAATGCAGTTATCAGCAGATTAAATGGTTTACTGTTATGCAACAACGAAGGTAGTCAGCTGACGTAACATTAGTATAAAGAGCAAGACAGTCTGCGTAGGGAGGTTGATCAGGGTAGTGGATGGGTCAAACTCAAATAGCAATGCTGACTTGGTTTAAGTATGTGACATTTGTCCAGTGAGGCATGTCACGTGATGTATGTGACTTAAGTCATGTTACATTCACCGAAGAAAGTACTTATTTCAGCCATACCATGATTTTTTTTCCTGAACCTAACTATGTTGTCTTTGCGCCAAAAACTAACAAAACTGAAAGTGAAACCCAATGACAGTTGCCAATATTATTGCGCTGATAATGGCATTCTGAACCCACAAATTGGTGTAATCAGTGATAAAATATCTGTGAAGCTGATAACCATTAATACCGCCCACTTAATCGAGTGACAATATTTGACATGGATGCTGACGACAGGTTGATGGGCTGTAGCTCCTCTGAGGCTCTACCTCAGGCCAGTTTAAAAAAAAACATGTTAACTTTTCAAAGGTTGCCATGGTGACAGGTGAAAAATGGTATAATCCATCACTAAGTACAAAGCAGTTCCATATACATCTGGTTTAACCATATCACAAGAAAAGAAAATCACATTTGTGTGAAGTACACAAAACAGCTAATCAAGTATATCGATATCTACTAATTAAAAACAAGAAAACATATTCATGAATACAATATACAAAAATCCAAACATATCTGTTTCAAAACCTGAAAGTCACTTTGAAAGGTGAGAATCCAAATGTACTGAGATTGGAAACTTGAATGATCTGATACAATACTTTAAGTAAGGAGCTTCTGCAGTCCTGATATAGATCATATCATACGTCAATGTAACTCATACTGAAAGTAAACCAGCAAAATCATTCCTTTTCAAGACTGGAGGTAGGTATTTGTCAATTGATGAGTCCATGTTTAACGTCTGTTTGAGGTACTGTACATATATAGGTAGTACATAACTCAGGAAAAACAACTCTAACTATTCAAAGCCAAAAAAAAAAAAACATTTGTAGTTATATCATGTAGTGTCGAACACTTGATCCTTATTAAACCATTGTGTAAATCGGAAAAAAAATAAATTCAAGTTAACGGTTTGTCAAACAGAAGTCCCAGTTTGCAGATAATGCTAAATATGTTTCATTACAATGTTTAGATACAAATTAACATTAAGGTAAATCAGAAAAACAGTACTTAATATGTTAGCTGCTTTTGTGTTTAAGAGTATAAAAAACAGACCACTGAATCGAGGCTTTTTCCAGGAATCGCCGAAGAAGAAAATGTCAGGCCAGGCAGTGCAAAGTGCACCAGTGATGATGGAGACAAACTGAAAAGACTGCATTGAAACAGTAACTTCACTTGTAAATGTGTTGATTGGACTTATATTAAATATTACATTTATAATGATGAGGACATACGATGACATGTCCCTGCTCAACAAGAATAACAATAATATTTCATATTTAAACAACCCAAGTTTAAACAAGGGGAAATTACTTTCAGTGTGACTGTAATATTTTAAGCTTGGCTTTAAATTATGGACATATGGACATTAAAAATTGATGGACTGCAGGCTTTGAAGTCAGTCTGCAATTGGAAGAAACATTTTGTTGTTTTCTTTTAGCAGTCTATGTCTTATTTTCAAAGTTTTGACCATCATTACTGAAGGTTATGATGACAATTCAGTCACATTACTGATAATCTGTATTAACAGATATCTGCATATGTATGCAGAATCTGTAGGCGACTGCACAAGATTTTGGTATCAAAAGTGTTTTTGTTTCTGTTTGTAGTCCGAGTAGCATTGACCAATCACATTTGAGTAGCAGGTAAATGGTCTGTATGAAGAGGCAGAGCACACTGGCCAAAATGTAATCTTGGAACCAAGGCTATCATCTGACAACAAATTAGCTTTATATCAACTTTTTTAAAATTGTATCTGCATTCATATGCAGATATTTTTGTTTTATCTTGTGTTTGTAGAGATTAGCTTAAAAGACCACCACACGGAAGAGAAAGTCTTGGTTATAATATCTGCTGGGTAAACTGGGTCAGCTGAAATATTACCTCTCGCCTTATCGTAATCAGACCAATAGCCAATAGGTTTTGACCTTGCATTGCTAAGATCTGGCAGTGCTTTACAAAAGAGTTGAGGCAAGTGATCGAGTAAACACATCCTCACATAAAACTCTCTTAAGATGTTTAGACAAATTGTGACAAATGTTACCTACAGGGTGAAGAACTAATGTCCTTGCATCAGTGATCAACTCTTGATTCTTGTACAACTAATTCTTGACTTTGCTTCTCAGCTTAACATGAGGTTGGTAAGGTAAAGTAACCATGGCATAACCCCAGATTCAACAGTTTAGGCACAGTTTTAGCTGTTGCTATTTCATTTTGTTTTCAGTTCATGAAAGTAACTGTAACATTTTGGTCGCCTAAAAAAGTCTTTGTTAGCATTGTAGTGTAGTGAAGACTCTATGGAGTCAGGTATACTTGGTTTTTTGGAAAGTATGTTTTGTTTTAATGGTCTTAAGCCTGTTTTTCACTAGCTCAAATCAGCATTACCATTATCACAGTGGTAAAAGCTGTAAATGCACCGTGCTAACTAAGCTCACAGCTTGTGTTAGGGTTATCTCCACCTTCTCATTCAAATGGTGAAATGGTCACTTCTGGCTCCCAAAATTCCAAGATGATGACAGCCAAAATGACAAACTCAAAGCTTCAAAACAAGAGTCTATGAATAGGTGACGTTCATTATTTTTTACAGTCTATGGTCATAACCAACAGGAAAGATGGTAACAAGTGAAAAAATAAGGCAGCTGTAGTATAACAGCTGAATTGTCCTTTAATGTTGATGCACATGGCTCTGTCATATCTGACGTTTGCTTCTTTCTGGATTGCGTAGGGTTTACCTGACTGAATCAAACAAAACAGTTGCAGACAAATTGCCATTCCCCCATGACAAGACAACAACCAACCGGCATGACCTCGCTTTAATGTACAGTATAAAGTTAACAACACAAATATCTGAACGCACACTGCCTTCCCAGGCATTAGTTTGAATGTACTGAGCAACAGCGTTCATTAGCTGGTTGTTCTGAGTCAGAGGTAGTTTGAAATCATGAGAGGATATTGCATATCACTGAGTAGAAAGCGCTGGCATACCATCAGGTTTCCTTAAATGTAAGGCTCCCTGGAGTTACAGTGCGTGATGAGTCGTCCAATGTCACGCTGCCACTAAATCCAGGTATCAAGTGTGTCATGAGGTAATGTGTGGTTTGTTCTTGTGGTTTTTGTTCTTGAGGTTGTTGTTTTTTTTGCAAGTCCGTAAAATTCTTTGCGGTGTGACATCATTGATGGAGTCAAGGTTTTAAAGCTATGCTGCGCAAAGAACAAACTGAATGAAGCTGTGTTAATGTAAATCTGAATAAATTGGTATACAGTAGTATGATGCATTGTCAAGCTGTTTGGTAGTGGAGTACCGACATGATGTGAAGAGGTTTTATGGTTTTTCTAGAGCAGTATAAGAGGCGTGTCAGTCCACCAACAGCAGGGAGAGCAAAGCAGAGTTTATGTAGTGCTCTGATGTTCAAGTAAATCTGACACCACCCTGGGTCAAGTCATCAAAATTAAAGCTTTAAGTATATACCGGAGGCAGTGCTGGACTACATCTACTCTTATCATTTTATTGATGTTCTGACAATCAGCTAAATAAAAAAAATCATTTGTCCCTTGGACACAACCCAAACATTAAAATTTGGGTGTAATTTTCAAACAATGCTTATCTTTATGGATCAGATCCATAAAAAGAACCAGCTATCATAACCTAGCGCTAGATTTAATAGATCACTTGAAGCTGCGCTATGTAAAATTTTAAGGCCACAAGTAATAGCTCAAGTTTTGAAGATTATTAGTTGATTATTAGTCTTTTCATTTTAAGGTTCGGTAGGCTACGAAATTCTGGAGGAATGTAGTTGATTGTTGAGTCTTATTTCCAAGTTGACAAATACTGACGCTTTGGGTTGGCAGTTAGGTCGCCAGTATTTTAAGACTTGGGAATAAGACTCAACAAGCCGGTTTATACCTGGTATTAACATGTTTCCTGGGTGATCAGATCACAAGTGGACAGCACAAAACAAGTGTAAATGACCAAGATGTGTATTGATCCGATCACGCAAACCATTTGCAGAAGTGGTCTGGGATGCATTTGACCACATATCTGTGTGGACATAATAACTAACTTTCTTGTGTACGTAACATAGGCTCGCATACATTTTGCAGAGCCAACAGAGAGGTGTCTGGAGACGTCCGAACCTAGCAACCACACCGCAGGCATTAAAGATATCTAGTCACAGCTGGTCAACTGGAGATGCTTGATAGGCGCTAATGCGAACAGTGATGTGTCTTGGCTGTCCACTTGTGTTCAGACAACATATCCTGATACAGCAGTTCAAATGATATCTAACAAATTGGCATTGTCACGTTACGTTCTTACGTAAGTTACATACTTAACGTAAAGTTATGTAGATGAGGTTTAGGCTAGTACAGTTCCAGATTACGGGGTTTTACGCAAATTACTGGCTCATGGGTTATATACGAATTGTAGTGCATTACTTTTCATAGATATACATACAGAGCATGAGAACAGTCTGGCTCAGATCATCGAAATACATGGTTATACCAGGTGTAAACAGGTTCAAAATGTCAAGAGACCAGACCAAACTGTAGGTTCCCCTCATAATGAACCTGCATTGGGTGCTGTTCAGAGAGAGCACACACAGGATGGCCTTTGTTTGTGATGATGATGATGTATGAGGACTCCAGTCTGATGCTAAAGTTAAATCTGAGCCAATACTTACAACCTCAGCACATTTTTTTAATCTAAATAGCTTTTAGCCAACATGATAGATAAACCACTGCCCTGAGGAAGTTCTCTGTGTCTCCCTGTGCTTGGTGGCCTGACACAAGTTTGGGTGAGGGGTGGGCAGGTTGGTGTGTTCTAGAGCCAACAATGATATGTTGGAACAGCAGGAAGTTGTTCTACATGTCTGTATGACAAAAGCAGACTGTCCCAGTCTCTATTCTGCCATCAGTGTCTGGAGAATCAGTCAACGACAGGGTGTGTGAAAGTGTGTGCGTGAATCTGTGTCTGTCCATGAGAGAGAGATGCTGAAGCAGTATGAGTGCATGTGATTTGCACCTCAGTACAATGGTGAGGTCTTCAGAATGATGCACCCCCTACTGATGCTCTCACTCATTTGAAGATAATGATGCTCTGAGGATTTCGGATAAAAACACCCGAACATTTACTTACTCATTATGTCTGTCTGTCTGTTTTCAGTTGATTCTCATTGAGTGTAAGTGTGTTGTACACGGCAGATGACATGTCTGTCTGCCTGATTTGTCTTTGTTTTGATAGGCAGAATGTCTGGACCTAAACTTTTTGCTTGTTTGTATCTGTTCAACCAATAAGAGCTGGCAGCAGTACAATTAATAAAAGATTATTTTTTGTGTTGCTGCATTCTGTATGGCCTATGTAAAAATGTATCAAAGGAAATGATGCAGAAGATGCAGACATATACTGAACATTTCTGCCTCTTCAGTGACAAAGCAAAGATGGAGATTCTCTGACTGAAACTAAACCAAGTAAAACAATGTGGAAAAAGTCAAAAATAAGTGGTCAAGGCAGTCTTTTCCCTTTGAAAGACCTGACAGCTGAATGAGGTAGAGAATTGATGATGTGGTAGCTTAGTCCTCCTCCGGGGACTCTCCTGCCTCTTCTTCTTCCTCTTCTTCCTGTAATGAAAAACAAGATGCTCTGTGTCATTCAAACTCCTTCAGTCCTGTTGTAGAAGGCTATACAGTTTGTACTATATATTAGGGATGCATCAATTTATTGGCTGAACACTGGTATGGGCTGACTGCCATCAGCCTATCAGCAAATAAGATGACATTCACTAATGGCAGTGGCCAATGTTTTTCTATTGAGAAAAACATTGAAAAGCAGGGTGTCCCCTTGTCCTGACAATAGAAAACATATTTGGGATGAGCAGAGATCTTCCCTGGGACGCCATCAGGAAAGAAAGGACGCAGTAAACTCACTGTCGACACTTCAGAGGACACACCCTGACGTTTTCCTGATAATGTTACAGTGTCAACAACGAATCTGTGTTGAAATCGGCAGGAGGGGAGCTAGTTGATGTTAGCTGTTAGCAGGTTGCATTGTGTTACATTATGATGTGTTCAAGCTCTATACAGAAAAAAAATGAGTTTGGGGTTTTTCTTTAGATTTATACAGTGTAGGTCCAGTGTAGACACCACTGAAGCTGCCGCTACTGTACTGCTGATGTGCCAGTAAAGAAAAGATGTTTAGCTTTATTTATATTTCTGGATTAAGAGGTTACGCCATACCTACAGTGTTTTATGTGTGCAACCCACCTTGGGAGATTTAAAAAGTAGCAGTTAGCAGATAACTCAAAGAAGAAAAAAATTGAGAAAAATATGAGGTCCAGGAGTTCCTTAAGCTCCAAGCAGAGGGCAAGATGGACTGAAAGAGGAAGAAGCTGTGCGAATTCTGATGCAAATTGTTCTGCTTTTCAGCGGCAATTGTTCCATCATTGTACTGTGTAAGTCAAGTAACAAAGCATAACCTTCAGCACTCTTTTTTCACCTTTTCACTTCACTTAAGTATAAAAAGTGTGTATTTGGTGTTTTCTTTAGAAAATCAAATCGTACTTGAGAATATGGACATAAATGGACTGCAGTGCTAATGATGGCGCCCTAACCCTAAACTCCCTCTCTTTTCCCAGAACAAGTGGCAGTTGGTTTTTCAAAGTGCACGATGACCACTGTGACAACTGGCAGGGGGCAAGAAAAAACATGTTCCTCCTCCCTTCTCAGATGAAATGGATTTCATTTTCCACATGGCTTCATTTTATTCAGGGAGGCTAACTGACACAATTTATAACCCTCTTCCTTTCCCAGGCCGTGGCGGAGCAGCACCAACTCCATTCATTAGTGCTCACACACTTCAGTCTTGAAAGGCCCGCTAAATGCTACCATGTGTGACAAGGGCAAATGAGAGCAGGAGAGAAGAAAGGTGGTGGGTGGAGGACAAAAAAGAAGCTTTAATCATAATGGCCCTCCACCCCCACCCACAATGTTTCACACCATTATCCTACAAGGCGGAAGATATCCATGACTAAAGCCTTAAATTTACTCAACCTGGTGCCGGTGTTTACTACCGGTGTTTAGATAAAGATTCATAAGCCCTGTTTCCACCAAGCAGTCCGGTTCAGTTCAGTCTGATATGCATTTTTTCCGTTTCCATTGTTTGTACATACTAAAATCTTACATACTTATCAACCCCACACAACTACTACTTGGTTAAGACAGACAGACTTTTGTGATAAAGAAACCAACTTAAGGCTTATCTACACTCTCTTTATGTACATAAATAGATACATCCGTTTTAAATGTTGTCACTGCCCTCATACTTCCATGCGTCCTTTATGATGGCTTAGTGGATAGCACTAAACGGCAGAGTCAAAAGTTTCACATAACAACAAACGAGGCGATGGTGGAGGAGGTCTTAATATTGTACCTGTAAACGGAGGCAATGTTGTAGGTGCCTGTGGTCCATTATATATAGAAAACAGAAAACGTGCACAAATATAGATGAAATGAACGCAGAGTGCAGACAGCACTCCGCAGTCCATCTCCGTATCTAACAGTGAGCATGAATGAGCCCTTCAGTCTCTTGTTATTTAACAGGAAATAAGCAGCACTACTGTTAAATCAAACTTTCTTGGTGCATCCTTCTACCGCTACCTCTTCCAAACAATGTTTTGTGGCTGCCTCTGCAGTCTCCAGTTCACCTTTGCTCCTTACTTTACCAGTTTCTCTTATTTGCCTCTATCTCTGTCTCTGTAAACTCTTGAAGTAGACTTATACAATTCAAAATCAGCTCACCACAACTTGTGACGTCTGGAGCATATCCGCATCTATTTGCATCTTTCCATTGATTTTGTGTCTATTCATGGCTGAATCATTCCCTAGCTGTCTACTGATCCCTGGTCCATAGCTATTATTCTTTCTGATGACTACACAGATGTGGTGACATAATGGTGTTCCCTGCAACTTTCACATGTGATAACTGTCTTAGGCCACATACACACTGACACATATTCATTTAAAAACAGCGTTTTAAAATGAAACCCACCGTTTGTTTGGTTAGGGTTTTTTGGTTTTCCTTTATATAGGTTTATGGTGGCTTATTTATTTTACTGCCAAGAGTATATAAAATGTAAAATCTTTTTAATATTATCATGTATATTTAAGGCTTTGATTACTATGGTTTGCTTGGTGACACAAAATGATACAGGATTGAGAATGCATATATTAGAGATGCATCAATTGCCATTTTCCTGGCCCATTGCAATTTCCAGGTTTCTAAAGATCTGAGTTTTTTTTCTTCTTTTTTTTGGGTTACTATACCTCAAGCTATTTGGCGCCGATCGTTTTAGCATTTTCCCTTTACTTACAGAAACAGTACAACAGTTAGCAGTACCTATTCTATTATTATCAACTACCCCTGGGGTCTGCTAGTTATCTTGACTAATCAGTAAACTAGCAGACTAGGATAGGCCACCAATTTATATATTTTCTAATTTATTGCTGTTTTTTTGAGAACAGTCTTCATTTTGAAAATAATTAATAAAGATTTTGAGAGATTTTCTGTCCAGTTGCTTTTTTTTTCTCAGTATGATAGATGAGCAAATGTACACAGTACAATAACCGTCAATTTTAATATCACAGTATACCTTGAAACCATCATACCTTTGCAACCCTACACTGTTTGTTAGCCCTAGGTCACATCCTAAAATAAATATGCCTAAAAATGTATACCACATAATAACCATTCTATGCATGTACCTGCCAATATAAACAGGAAGCTGATTGTCTACTCTGCAGTTGGTTGCTCAGTTTCAAAGATACTTTGAAGATGGCCAAAAGTAAGATCAGAGATTTCTTTGCTTGTACTGACAATGAGATGGAACTGTTACTGAAAGTAACACCTGAGTATAAGGTGGTCAAGGCGACAGAAAACATATTGGGAGTCACTGCAAAGCTAATATGGCGACATATTAGAGTGAATGAAAACACAAAAGGTGTGTAGACCTAGCTTTAATGGCTTGACTTGTCAAGCTTTGACTGATAAGACCCAATCGTGAAGCGAACTTTGGTGTGTGCATCATCGTTTTCAAGAGTCTCCGATTCCACCCGTCCAGCCTAAAATGCAACCTGTGGGTTTTCCAACTAAAAACAGGGTCTGCAGCATTTTCAAAGGTCTATGTTTTAGGGGTTTCAAGTATTGTGGACACTAGGCGTAAACGTAGCAATACTTATGCATTTTAAAACAAAAATGTACTATTGTGGATGTAGCCTTAGTTTGGCTGAGCAACTAATGAGGACAGGTATTAAGACTGTTGAAATTGTTGTTGTTGTTTTTTCTTTGAGAGAAGAAAAAAAAAAAAGATCCTTGAGGCATGGAAAAAAGAGACCAGGTAGGCAGCAGTAGCTGAAACTTCAATGAGAAACTGTGCTATGTGCATGTGTAAAGTTGTAGCTTTCTGTTGGGTCATGTATTCACCCCACCCCACCCTGAGCACTGGAATGAAAGGGGTTTGAGGTTTTGTACAGGCCAGTAGTGGTGGGGCTGAGATAAAGCAGCCTATCAAAGTGGGAGAGCTAAATGACATTTTTATGGCTTGCAGCTCCTAGGGCCTCACAGCGCCTCCCAACTACCTCAGCCCTGTTCCCACACAGCCACAAATCAGAGCCGAGTTATGCATTCACACCAAGAAGTGGCCCGCACCAGTGAACAGAGGGAGGCTGGTGGATTCCTGGAGTGTGAGGGAATGCTGGGGGTGGGGGTCCTGTGTCATGTTGCACTCACTTATTACCATTCTGCTTTCACTCTCCCTCTGATGTAGGTGCTCACACCAACAACACAAAACAGCATCTAATTATCTGCTACATATGAACCGTCAGACACGGAGGGACTGCAGTTAACTTTGAAATTACTCACTAAGAATAACTCACGTCTCATCTCACCACTATTGTTGCAAAAGCCACTCCCATATTTACAGATGTGACTTTGTCCACAGTTCTAATCAGGCCCAACCTTAAGTAAAAACACCAGCACTAGTGTAAGCCTTAACTACTGGCGAAGTTACTGTTATAGCAACTATACAAATGTTCCAAGCCTCTGAGAAGTTTGACAAGAACCATCATTTAATTACTTGAAGCTGGTACACACAAGATACCCAAGCAAAAAGAAATAGAAGCAATAACCTATGTTTTCCTGACAAGGAACTCTAGTGGTCGAGTCAATTTTGACATGTCCGTCAGGACCAAAGTTGGAAGTACCGTGCTGTTCCCTCAACAAAGCATGCAACTTTGACACAGGAGACTGCTGGTTTTTTTTACTGTTTCCCAATGTCAGTTTTTCTCTTACTTCAACCAAGTAGTTCTCAGGTCTAAACTCATGTTTATGTAATGTAATCCATAACTTTGCAGATGACAAAGTATTAATTTTTGCAATGATCCTTTGTAAATGAACCATATTTGCAAACATATTTTGCCGTTCAGTTTGGAGGACAACACAATCAGATTAAACACGGTCATGTTCTTCCTTCAGCTCAGTGTGGTAGTACACAGCTTCACTATGTGGAATAGACTTTAACTCAGGACAACCTAGGTCAAACTTTCCAGCCCAGTCACCAGAAGGGAATGTTGGCATTGTACGTTTCTGCAAACCATGAATGTGTTCCATCTGTACATTTCATATGTATAATATCAATGTTTCTAATGTGACGTAGTTTATCAGCTTGCTTTGTCATAGCAAGGGGAAGGGATTGGTGGATGGCGTGACAAAAAGGCAAGACATGAAGCTGCAGACCACTGTTCGAGACCAACAAACAACAAAACCAGTTGTTTTTCAGCAACCCATCGCTGTTTTTCCTTCGGAGATAGTGCCACCAAATTTACACCGAATTTTCCTAACCAAAACCCATTGATTTTTGTGCTTAAACCAGCGATATTGGATAAAGCGAGATACCCCATTCAGCTCACTTCATGATTCAGTGACGTCAGCGCCACGCCCCTGTTGCAGCAGCTCTGAATGTATTGTCATCAATGAAGAAAATGAACTTGATCACAATTTATAGTCAATTCTTTTGCCCTATAGTCACTAAAGTAAATACTGGGTTCATTTTCCACAAGCCACACATCTTACCAACATTCTGACACTAAAGCTGCGAGGGAGAACAGGCTCTGATTGGAGGGAGAGCTAACCACGCCCACTTAGGAGACAGGAAGAGTAACCGTTTTCTTAACATTGGATAAGCCTACGGTGGGGTATCTCCTTTATCCAATATCTCTGCTTAAACCTAACTACATGTTAACCACAGCGTTGTTGAAATGTAAAGTTTCAATGTATCTGCTACATAACATAAAAATATAATGTAGCTTTGGTTTGCAGAACAACAATGCCAACACTTCTTCTGGCCAGTGGATTTTACTTTCATAGTTTTGATCATTGCAATAGTTTGAGGCATTTGTACATTTAAGGTTGGCTGTGACTCAGGAGGTAGAGCAAGTTTTCAGTAATGGCAGAGTTGTTGGTTTGATCCCCAACTCCAGCATTCTACATGCTAAATCATCCTTGGTCAAGATGCTCAATGCCAATTGCTTTTTATGGGTGGGCCAGCACCTTGCATTGTAGTTTGCTGTCATTGTGTGTGAATGCGAAGTAAATGTAAAGCACTTCGGATAAATGCTGTATATAAATGCGGTCCATTTAATGTTTTATTGACAATTGGATCTTAGGATAAAACATCACTGATAGCCATTAACTTCCTATGACCAGACAACCTGACAGGTTTTATACAAAATATTTCTCCTTTTTAGCCTCAGTGGGAACCTCAGGGAAGAAAAAAATGAAGCAAATGCAGAAGTGCCAAAAACTGCAGTTCCTCTAATGGCCACTTGAGGCTAGCTTCAAAATGTCCATCGACCTCCATGGTAAAATGCACAACTTTACAGCAGATATAAACATGTTTACAGTCAGGAACAAAAAAAAATATGGTTTTGGTCTCTATAACTAATTTCAACATTCATGACAAGTTAAGCATAATTAAGGGCATGGCCTCTTTGACTGACAGATGGGTGCTGTCCATTAACAAGTTGTAACCACAGCAACAACTCTGGTTAGGTAGGTAACATACCCAGATTCACAGAGTATGGGCGTAGCCATAGATGTCACTATCACAGTGTGTTTTCTGTTCATGAAAGTTAATTATAACATTATGATCCCCTAAAAAAGTCTTGTTCAGCATTTAGTTGTACTAAAAGCCCTCTAAGGAGTCAGATAATCAAATTTTCCCAGTAAGGTAGATTATGTTTTGTTGTAACGGTTTTAAGCCTGTTTTTTGCAAGAAAATATTAGCATTGAATTAGCATTATCACAGCTAACCATAGTTGTAAATGCACCATGCTAACCAAGCTAGCATCTAGCATTAGGTTAACACCCTCCACTCTCTCGTCTTGATATGCTCACTTTTGGTTCCAGTAATCCAAGATGGCAATGGCCAAAATGCCAAACTAAGGCCTCAAAACCAAGTTCACAAACCAATGGGTGACATTACGGTGGTCATGTTCATTACTAAGTCTATATTATAACCAAATTTCTCTTATTTGGTGAATGAGCAAACCAGGTTGAACACACCAGTAAAATCTGCAGTATGCTGAACCAGGCTACAAAAAACACACAACCACATCCATAGCTAAGGGACCAAATGATATTTTTTGCTATGGAAACCATTCAGTACCCCAGCAACTGAATTACAAACTCAGTTTATCTTGACTTGAAATCGACGGGCGAGCAATGTACGATAACATTTGTGTATATTGTGTATGTTATAGCTGACACTGTCCATACAAAGCATAAAGGTTACAGAAATCTGTTGAAATAAAAAATAGCATTATGTGCAATGAGGATTGCACATTTATGTATCCTTTAAGTGTGTAGCGTGTGTGTGTGTGTGTGTGTGTGTGTGTGTGTGTGTGTGTGTGCACAATCCTTATGATCCTACCTGAGCAAGCTTTTTCTGGACGACTTGCTGTGGCTGTAAGAGAGCAAAGGAGAGAGGTTAGTGCTGTTTCTCCACTTGCTATCATCATCAAGAAGTAAAACAGTTGTTTGCTGTCATTTAACAAAAATGTCACGTGAAATTTAGGCCTGACTGGTTCATGATACAACTGGAAATGAAAAAAGAATGTAACAGGGTTCATGTGGAATGCACAGTTTATCTTGGTTCAGTCTAAAACAATGTACAGTAACTGCATCTGTGGTGATTGTTCATTTGAGAGTCAAGTGAGATCAGTGATCATCTAAAATCTGACATTGACACAGTTATGTACAAGCAATTCACCTCTACACAGGCCTATCTGGACCAGGCCCAGACCCCAGTCTTTAGGACCTGGGTAAGCAACCTGACTAGTACAGCTAAATTTTAGATCTTAGCCCGACGCAATACACAAAGTTACTTTTTTTTGCTTTTTTAATACATTTGACCATTAGCTCACCAAGCTAATTGAATACGATTGCTGTAGAATTTTGTGTATCTACTTGCAGCACATGAAACACGGCAAAGAGAAAGTCAGAAAGAAATTTCTTATTAAATCACTTTTGAAAAAAGTCAAACCCAAACCAGGTCCTGAGCTTGAGACTGTTTAAAGTATTGTCAGCCCATCTCCCTCCTCAAAGGATATGCTAGAGGATGCTAGAATTGATGTATCAAACCAGTAACACAATGCTGCCGCTGGCAAACATAACAGAAAATAAAAAAGGATGTAACAAGCTACAACCTAAAGCCACGCAGTCCAGTCCAGTTCTGTTCAGTTCGTTACACATTACAACAATTATTTTGACGTTTTCAATGTCAAAGTTGTGGATGATACCATCAGAGTGTTCCATTCTGTCCCATTGTAACCCCTCTGTTGAGGTACTGGGCACAGTGATCCGATACTTAAAGGTGGAGATAAAGTTGCTGCAGTCTGTTGAATGATCAAGAGTGAAATGTCACTCTTACTCGATGAGAACTCAAAGCACAAACTATATTTTTAAGTATCGCACCATCGGTTGTGACAAAAACTCTTGACATCCCGACCTGTACTTTTTTGTTCTGAAAATGTTGGCGGGCCACCTGATCCCATTAATGATCAGCGAGGTGGAGACGTACCTCTGCATTGGAGATGCACACAGATCTAGAGTTAAGGTACATGTCCGTACAGGTTATGCACAGATTCTAAGGGTACAATACCGAAACTTTTTAGTGAAAAAGCAGCTTAAGAATGTATTTCACTACTGGAGATGGTCTTTTCATAAAACTAGGTTGTCTATGCAGGAGAAAGATGAAAATAGTTATGAAATTGGTGCTACATGACCAAATGAAACAAGGTAAAAAAGACAGTGGCATTCGCTTTTGCTCAAGAGGTACAAAACCTACAACTACCAGAATGCACAGTGAACTACAGTTTATGTTTATGTCCATCCGGATTACATACCGGTTCTAAGAGTACTACACCAAAAATGAGTGAGTGGAAATGCGAGTGTCTTCAGCAATAAGAAAAGTGGAATTTATGGTCCTATTGATATCAATTACTGCATTTAAATGGGTTTACACACATAAACAATCAACCATTTTCTACTTTTTCTACTTTTTCTGAGTGGCCCAATTTAGAAAAATAGCTGCCATAGCCTCCTTCTGAATGTATGCCACTGCTTAAGAGAATTCAAACCCCACATACTTTTACACCACACCTGACTATCAGGTACATCAGTGTAAAGTGGGAATGACTACTGGATTGTCTGTTTAAGTTCCAGAAATTGTCAAACATAGTCAGTGCTCTCATTGGGTTTCTGGTCTTGTGAGTCTCTGATTCACACAACCTGAATGTGTTTGGGAAGAAGGACGCATAGAGTAGAGAAGAGAAACACACACACACACACACACACACACACACACACAGAACATACACACAAAACACAGAATGGTCCCAGCAGGATATTGTTATTCTACGCCTGCACATTGACTTTACCCAAATACAATACTGTGTTATACCAGAGATATTGGATAAAGCGAGATACCCCACTCAGCTCACTTCCTGATTCAGTGACGTCAGCGCCACACCCCCATAGGAGACTTGCGGCAGCTCTGAATGTATTGTCGTCACTGAGGAAAATGAACGTGATCACAATTTATGGTCAATTCTTTCGCCCTATAGTCACTAAAGTAAATACTGGGTTCATTTTCCACAAGCCACACATCTTACCAACATTCTGACACTAAAGCTGCATTTTTCATCCGCACAGATCAAGAGAAAGTTAACTTTGTTTGAGCCCTGTCCGTCTCAGAAAACAAGTTCTTGCGAGATCTCGTGATCTTGATAAACAGGCGGTAAAATCACAGTTAGCTTACAAACAGTTATTTACCGCTAGTAATAAATAAAAAATGCCCAAGCTTTGTGCAGCAATAGGCTGCAATAATAGGAAGAATGTATTTTCTAGGGATGCACCGAATATTCGGTAACCGAATATATTCGGCCGAATATTGCAAAAAAAACACACATTCGGTATTCAGTGGAATAAGTTAAAAGCAAGGCCAAATAATAGCAGCGTGTTTTGATAACGCAATCAAACAGCGTGCCATGAAGCACGGAGAAAAATGTCAGCAGTGTGGCAATCCGCCTGTCACCACACTTGCATTTGCGACTAAAAATAGTTTTGAGCGAGCAAAATAGGCTTAAATCATTCAGCACGCTGTGCGATCAGCCTACAGATTTCAACCAGCAGCAGAAACGAAAGGTGAATCCCACCGATTGTGGGTTGAATGGGGGTCACAGACACAGACAGTAATGTATTCCTGTCAAATACGGCGGCCATCGGCTTACCGGCGACGGATAAGTCGGCTCCAGTAATATCCTCTTCTTGGCGTGTGGACTGCCCAGAAGTACCTGAACAGCCGAGCCAGCCGAACACAGGTATGTGACGTGTCAGAGGAGAAACGAGCCGTTCACGGCCCACAAACCTCACCACACTTTAGGGACTGTTCTTTACTTATGAAGGGGAGGAGGGTGGCTGTTTGATTCTTATTTTATTTATTCATTTTATTTTGATCCCCCCTATGTTCATCACTCATTGATGCTGTTTTTGAAGTATGAATAAGTCAATAAGTAATTTATTCCATTGAAATATCATTGATGTAGCCTATGATAGAAAAGTGATTTATCTTTTCATAAATGACAAAAGGCACATCTGCCTCATTTTCGCTGTGGTATTGTGATACTACTCAGAACCATGATATTTTCATTGGTATCGTACAGTGGGATCCAATTTTGGTACCGTGACAACACTAATCTGGAGGGGGTTCATCTGCAAAAACTAATGAAAAACTAAACAATGATATTCGGTATTCAGTACTTGGTACTCGGTATTCGGCCAAGCATTTAATATTATTCAGCTTCAGCCACAAATTTTCATTTTGGTGCATCCCTAGTATTTTCATTCCACCTGTTTCTCGTTCCGCAAACACAGACATCCACAGATCCTCTGTTCAACACAAGGTGGTGGGGGTGGGGGAAGGGGGGGGGGAGCTAACCACGCCCACTTAAGAGTAACTGTTTTCTTAACACTGGATAAGCCTACGGTGGGGTAACTCCTTTATCCAATATCTCTGGTTATACTGTTATTTAGTAAATATTTGATCAAAGAACAACAGAATGCCAATCCTTGACATTTGACAGTTTTTGGTATAATTGTCAATGCTGTAAACCCCAATTCACTTACTCAACTTAAAATTTCTCTGGACAGGGCTTGCACTCAAACTTATAGTTTAGTACAATACAGTAACATATAAGTTTTGAGTCCACCAGACACAAAATAAATGTGTCACATGACCCTTGATTGACAAGATTTTTAGGTCAGTTTAACATCACTGGTTTTGTTGTTTGAGCATTGATTTCTGCCACACGAACATAAAAACAACAAGTACACATTTTACAACATCACTAATTTATGGTGCAACTTAACTCATGGTGCAAAATATCTTTTACCACAATATTAACTGTAACCCATTAGAACCATTGTAAAATACATAAACATTAATCAATGCGTAATGGGTAACACAAGCGATTTGGAACACATTTAAACGCAGTTTTCTTCGGCTTATGGCCTTAAACGCATAATCAGCAGACTTGGCGTGCTCACTCAAAAGTCTCAAAGAGTAATTGGGTCCGAACGGACGTATTTCAGCACATAGCCGTCCTCAACGCATCCATTTGACTGCTGCTGTGCAATCCACTATATTAAAAGTATTGCGTGCTGTCGGGTTTTTCTACTTTGCTTAAACACATAGGCCTCTAGTTTCCCAGAGCGGCGCGGCGCGGCGCAGGGTGGCGCAGGGTGGCGAACCCCGCGCAGAGCTAGTTTCCAAGGCACGCTCAGTTTGGTAGTTTGGCAGACCGAGGTGCGCTGAGATGGGTGTGGCGGCTCAGCAGGGGGAGGTGTCGACAGATCCAGCTTGGCACAGTGACAGTTTCGTGCCAAAAGCTGAAACCAGGTCTACTGTCAGCGCAGGCGGAGCGCAGCCGGTGTAAGTCGAAGTTTGGCTGACCGGCAGACAGTGCGCACACATCACCAAAACCTCACAGGCAGGTTTCCAGAATGTCAGGCATTAACAATGCAATAAATACCCAAAAAAAACACTATTCAATGCAACTATCTGCAATCAGCACATAAATGTATCTCTATATCGACTGGCACCGTTTGGCACGTTTGGCACGCGTAATGGAAACCCAACCTGATTTGATTAACACAGCTGCAAACTAATGAGTTCACATCCCTCTCAGCCAACCACAAACAGCCACAGCATCAGATAGGGAGTATATATTCAGCATCTGTCATCTTAGAAAAGTCAAAAGAAAAGAAACAGAGTGAGACTGCGAGAGAGAAAGAGAGAGCGCACGCGCACTAGAGAAATGCAACATTGATTTACAATTGTGGTGACCTCCTCCCAGGCTACCTTTGCACCATCAGCCCGTGGAGGTCTGCTCTCAGTTCCGTATA